CATAAAGATATGAAAAGGGATAGAGATCGTGACAGAGATAGAGATAGAGGGCACGACAGAAGTGACAGATTAAGTATAAGTAAAGATGACAGAATGAGGAGAGATGGATATAATATGGGGCATTACAGCGGTAGTAGGGAAGATGATCATTGGTTACCTAGAGACGGAAGAGATATGAGAGACGGCAGGTACGGGTAAGCTCATTTTCTACATCCATATATATTTCGATGTTAAAAATATATTTTCCAGTACTTATATTTTCATATTTAGTTTAATTCGGATTTTATTTTATTCATCTAATGCAAAATTATTTAGATCATTAATCCTCTGTCTGTATACTTTTTTTTTTGCACCCTCGAAGTGTATACGTAAGTCTGTCACGTTAGACACTATTTTTCCCTGCCTGTATTTAAAAAAAAACTGAAAAAATTTATGAAACATCTATCTACATTGTAGCTGACGATTTTATAGTCATTTTAATAAATATCGTTTATTTAATATTTTTTGGCAGGCTTGAAAATTTTACAGTTACGAGCAGATATCATTTTGGCCTTGACTTACGTATACAGACGGAGGGTTGAGCATGAATAGAAATCTTTGTTTTTATCGCTATTTATATACATATATTTTTTTTACTGCTTCTCAACTGTTGCAATTTCTTTTGACAGATTCGGAGATCACAAACGCGATCGCTTCGATCCTTATGGTCGAATGTCCAGTGGTTATCATAGAGACAGAGATAGAGATCGAGATCGTAGTATGCACATGAACGACAAAAGAAGGTAAATAATGGGGATCTTATTTACAAATTTCGCCGATAATCTATTTCATGAATTTTGTTTCAATATGGATGGTTTTTCAGTGATTATTATCGATACTCGTCGGGACCACCAAATTACGGATATGGACCAAGTGGCTATGGTAGTAGTAGTGGTGGCGGTGGTTATCCTCCCACGGATATGGCCTCGAGTCATTTCAGAAGTCGTGGTTATGCAGGAGATGGCTACTCCAACGATTGGCGGCCGAACAAAGATTACAGGCGGGATTACGATAGAAGACCACCGCCACCAAATGCCAACTCCTAGTGCTTCTTCCTTCCTCGGTTGTGACACGGTATCGAAACCGTTTTGTGTATAATTGTGCTGCGAGTGAGAGCGTTTGCGACGACACTGGTTCTCTCAAGTCTCTGCATGGGAGAAGTACTGAGTGTACGGTGCACGATGTTTTTGTGAGCATGCACCATATCTGTATCTATATGTATAAAAAAAAATTATTCCGATATTTATTATATTCGGATAATAATGATGTCGGAGATGTGTTTAGGATGTGCATGGTACTCCCTATTAGAAACTTTTACATATGTGTAGATTGTGAAAAGAAAAGATAAACGAGGGAGATCAAATTATATCCTCAGCACATAACGAGAAGAGAAATTTTTATATATTGGAACGTATGTATCGGAATTTGTCGAGGAATGTTGAGAGATACGAACGAACAAACAGTGTGTATTCGCTTCTTTTTAAGTATCAATGGAATTGTAACTGGTATAATTTCCTTGAATTTTCATCGCTATACACAAAAATCATCCTATGTAAAAAGAGTTTTCCATATCTACAATATATGTGTGAAAATCATCCAAATTATACTAGAATACAACTCTAAAGTACGATTGTACTTTTTACAATTTTTTTTATTAATAAACCAATTCTTTTTCGCATATTTGAGTTCGATTTTATCGTGCAATTGTGAGAAAAATTTACGACGACATTATTGGAATCACGAATGTATGTATTTTCTATTATACAGTTTGGATGCGGTCCAGTTGACGATTCAAAATAGTATCTGCTCCTGGTGTTACTAACATTGTCAGCGTTTGCACAAATTGATCGATGTTTTCAAAGATCTTAGCGCTCTAGAGCGTCACGCGTTCTAGGTAATGCTAAATGGGCCACGCTCTAAATTACTCCCAAGCATCGATAGAGTCGATTGTGCCACATTCCCTCTATCGTATCTTTCGTTATGTAAAATAAGTAAACTGCTTCCGCGCTACGCGCATATATTTTGCATTTTCGATACTAATTACATATATGTATATTCAGTTTAGAAACATAGCTCGCGCACATAATCGTCTCGAGCGATGATACCTGATTTCGTCGTTCTCATCTGAGAATCAGATGAGAGTAACATATTAGCTGGCTTTATGCTAACACAATCTGATGAAGTTACAGTAGACATAAACGGACATAATGTTACGTTGTAGCACAACGTCTGTGAAATTGTACAAATCTAATCATCAATGTATAAATTTTCTATATATATAAAAAATTAAAACACTTTAAAGGAACATCGTATTTCACGGAGGTGAGATTGTCCGATCCGGTATGTACGGTGAAATCATACGATGAGTCGATCTATTGCACTTGCTAGCGAAATACCGGTCGCAGGGACAATTAACGCATTAATTCAGCAACCACCGAACATAATCTGTTACGCAAATCAAAATACAGTGGAAACACAGTTTGGATCGCACCTTTTTTCAATAGTCTTCTGACGCGTTTGCGATTTAAAGAGAATAGAGTACTATTTTTGCGTTCATTATTTTATGGTACCATAGTTTTGTATTCTGAACATACAAAACTAATGTGACATACTTGTAAATATTAGTGTAAGATCGATAGTTATACTCCGTTCGTATCGAACTGTTGAATCACTTAATACAGCGTTACTTCTTTATTTAACATAGAGTACGAGGAGGCATTTGCTACCTCAATCTTGTTTCAGTCAAAAGGAAGAAGGAACATTGATGTGTAAGGATTTTATATATTACCTATAATTAAGAACATCGCTTGTAAATTATTAATATTTTTCAACTGAAAGGATTAAAAATTTAGAGAATGACTCTAAAAATAATTAATCATGTTTGCTCCAATTAATAATTAATAAACAGCTGATAATGTTTCTTTTTCATAAGGAAGAACTTCTCATAAAGTTTTATATTCATAGAAAATGAATAAACACGGTCGAGCGACTTGTAGAACGTATATTATCTTGTATGATCCGAAACTATTGACACTGCATGCTGAACAACACACTGTATCTTATGAACGTATATAAAATAAATTATTTTGTAGATTATTTTACGCGCCCGCGTGAAGCCGATCTTGCAATTTTCATGTGCATTTCTGTAAATAGTATTGAGAAAGTGAGATAACATATTCGTGACGATACAGTTTTGAGCTAAGAAAGAAACGAATGTATAATTCATATTGTCTTGTGTTCGGAGGTAGAATTGATCGCGTGGCAACAGAAGTCTGCTCGTTAGAGATTTTCATTTGCGAAGTGATGTTTCAGGCGCAATAAGAGCTATTTATAATTTATTACGAACATCCGATTGTGCGAGAAACGATGAGAGGAGCATTGCGAAATGTACGACAATGCACGAAGTAAAGGGGATAAGAAGGATGCGAGTTGTAAATACCAATTCGGAGAATGGAATACAGTGGCATAGTGGAATAGAGTTTAATATCGTACGTATATATTAGATATGTAAAGCGATCATAACAACGTATTTTATCTATCTTTATTGTAGATTGCTCTGCGTTTCTGAAAATATATCTGCAGAAAAGTTTTTCATGGTAGTGGTGAGCGTTATTTGTGTCTAAAACATAATACCAAAAATTATTTTTTTTTTTTATGAAAATCTTTCGATCTCCTATACATGCGTACACATTTAAATATTTAATATTTTAAATTTAACTAAGTGCGATTATAATGTGTAATACTTTCGCATATATATCTTTTCTATAAAGAATTCTTGAATACGTGGACAACAGACTAAATACATATATATATTTGTGTCATTATTATTTGCAATTTATCATGATCATTATTGTTGCTGTTATACTCTTGATGCATCCCATTAGACTGCATCAGAATTCTTTGTCGTCTTAAAGTTGAAACTCCGAGTTCTAGGTTAAACGTTGCACGGGTATTTATCTACTCACAAAGTATTCTTAGGAAATTTTCTGATTTTTTTTTATTAAAGTAATAATTGTGACATAAACTTTTATGGGGCTATTCTGTAATTCTTAACGACAGAGTTTCGTTATCGTTATATATATTCTCGTTGCGCAGCTTTTTTTATCATATATATGATATCTGCGCAACACAAATATAACGATAACGAAACTGTCGTTATAAGAGTAAAGCTCCTTGCATAACAGGCGATTTACAGAATAGGCACTGGTTTCTGCAGTTCTCATGGGTAATACAAACTGATTTATTAAAATGACCTGAGGCACGCGATAACTTTTCTTTTATTGCTTATAAAGTAGGTTTGAGATTTATATAATATTCTATATTAAGATATTCGCAATAAATTGCATTTACTCGTGGAATGTAATAAGTTGCACTTAATATCAATTTTTTTGAGGACACGTATGAATTGCGTGAGAATTGTAAAGTGCTGAATTTAATAATTAACATTTCGAATATATTGCAAAAAGATTACAAGAAGCGCTTATTAATATATATTCACAAATAATTTATTTACGTCCACTTTGTAAAATTAAATAAATGCAAAATAAGAAAGTACGGAAAGTAAGAGAAATCACTTTTAAGGGTCAAAATAATATAGCTTATTTATTTTCCATAACAAAGTATGTATAAATTCTATTTTCAATTAGATTTATATTAACAAAAAAATGTTTTGTCAAGTAAAATATATATAAGTTATGAAAAATATTATATAAATGATCATTTTGCTAGATTACAGAATAATGGCTAGATTACAGGATAATCGTTTAGATATGATAATATTTGGTGCCACTGGATACACCGGAAAATATGTAGTGAAAGATGCGACACATATGTGCAAAGAGCAGAAAATGAAGTTTGGTATTGCTGGTCGTAGGAGGCAAGCTTTAGACGCGGTTGTTAAGGAATTTGCCTCCGATATTGGAAAAAGTACATTTAATACTTAAAGTTAATTATTTTGAAGAAATGGCCAATTTTTTAATTTTGTTTTATTATTAACGAACACTCTTATACTACATATACATCTTTTCAGACGATATACCTGTTATTGTAGCTGACATAAAAGATGAGGAGTCTCTCAAGAAAATGGCAGAGCGAGCAAAGGTACTCATCAACTGTTGCGGTCCATATAGATTTTACGGAGAACCAGTTATTAAAGCGTGCATTGCTACTTGCACTCATTACGTTGATGTCACTGCCGAAGAAGAGGTAGTTAAAAAATTAAAAAATCTCAAATAATGATCGCTGATAATGACTTCTGATATTATCTATTTTTAATAGTTTATGGAGAGAATGCAATTAGAATACAATCACGCAGCACAAAAAGCTTGCATTTATATGGTAAACGCTTGTGGCGTGGTCTGTGTTCCTAGCGATTTGGGAATTATTTTCACGCAACAGAAATTTGAAGGAGAAATCAATGCTGTTGAAGTATACGTAAAGGTGTGGCCAACCGACACTGAGAAAAGTCCATGTATGAACTATACAACTTGGGAGTCCCTAATATACAATTTGGCTTATCCAAACGAACTACAGGAATTATATACTAAGTTGTATCCTACCAAACTGCCCGAACTTACGCCGAAATTAGAATCAAGGCATTTCTTTAGATATCACGTATAATTATAAGTTACGTTTTAGAAGTCAACTTGTAAGCACAGTATAAATCTGTTTTATATGTGCGTACCAAGTGTTTAAAAATTATACAAATTTATATAAGACAATTATATACATATATTGATATAATAAGAAAAAAGTGTAATTATATTAATGATGTGCAGCATTAATAATTCCGCTATTTTCGTTCATTGTAGAGGTATGCTGCACCGAAGCGATGTTTCTGAAGGCTGGTCCGTGCCATATTTAACGTTTGCTGACCGTCCTGCATCTCTTCGTACACAGCGATTCTTGTACGACAATTACAAAAAGAGGCCAGCGCAAGTTCAAGTTTACCTCACGTTGAAGTCAGTACAATACTGATAGAAACGCCATGAATCTTGACAAATAATTTCTGTAAAATTTTGTACGTTTATTATTAGGTCCTTTGAGTTCTTGAAAGGCGCCATTACTGGTATAAATTTATTATGCATGTCTCGCACAGCATGGGGTCGTAATTTACTTTTACGAGTATGTGTGCAAG